CGGGACCGCAGCGTCAGCGCGTGACGTCCCCCTCCGTGCCCGGCCGCCCTCACAGCACGCAGTGCCGAGCCTGTGTCAGGCTCACGGAGGCACAGGCCGCGCGGTTAGTGAGCTCGAGGAGAGGAGGACCCTGGACACCTCCCAGCGGCGGCCTCTGCCCAGTGAGGCCCCTTGCCCTGGGCAAGCCGGCTCCCGTGTGCCCGCAGCCCTGATGAGGACGGGTCACTAGTGGTGTGACTTAGGGGTCACTGTGGATAATCCCCCTTCTGTTTTGATTCTGCGCTGTGCTGAACCTGCCCAGGCGTTCCTCAAGCTTCCCGCTAGCCTGTTATTTGTCCCTCTGGTCTTTTGGCCCAGTCACCATCTTCTAGATGAGGAAATGAGGAGCAGGGGCGGCAGTCTTCTGGGTGCTGAGCAGATGAGGTGCTGCTGAGTTAAATCCCCGGCTCTCTTGGCTGATTCTTGATCCAGGCAGTTGGGCAGCTCTGAGTTGGTCAGTCAGAGTGTATTCTACTTTCTGTTACGAATCCTCAGAGCCAAAGTTTCCTAGCTTCTGAGGGTATCTCAGACTTCCTCTGTATCATAAGACAGATTTCATTCAGCATCTCTGGTCCTGAGGAATGTCCCTTCATTGTTTTAGAGGTGTCATTTTATTCCTTCACAGGTGTATGGATACGACAGCCAAAGCTGGTGTGATGGAGGTCCTGCGCCTGAACGTGGGGGGCTGCACGTACACTGCCAGGCGCCAGTCCCTGTGCCGCTTTAAGGACTCCATGCTGGCATCCATGTTCAGTGGACGTTTTCCTCTGAAAACAGATGAATCAGGTAAATATCCTAGGTGTAGAAGCATGTTCATGAATATTCATGAGAAGAGTCTGTTTCCTAATTACACTGGAGTGTATTAGGTTAGTCTGCTAATTACTGAGACCATTAGGACCGTGTAGAGTCTTTAAGAGTACAGAGAAGTTAAATACCAGGTTCTCAGCTCTGTGATGCTGCTGTGAGAAGTTGACAAGGAGTGGGTGCTTAAAGGCTGGTCAGGGCCTGTTGCTGGATTAATTAGCACTTGACAGTTGTCACTGCATCTGTCTTCAAGGTGACTGACAGTATTGGGCTATTCTCGGGGTAGGAAATGTGCCCTTCTGGAGAGAGCAGCTCTCCGGATGCTCACTGGTGTGCCGACGTGTGGCTGAGACGGCAGTGTAGTGACTCCATCAGCTACCAAAGTCAGAGCTTTAGAAGAAACTCAAATATAAGGGTAGGGCCGAGCCTGGGGGTGCAGACCTGTAATCCTATTGCTCTGGAAAGCTGAGGCAGGAGAATCACTAGTTTTAACCTAACACAGGCAACTTAGTGAGATCCTGTCTCAAAGTAAAAAAATAAAAAAAGGGCTAGGGATGGAGCTCAGAGCAAAGCCCTGGGTTCAGTCTTCAGTACTGGAAAGAAAAAGAAAAGGGTAGGGTTGGGGGGCTGTACAGTGAGGTTCAGGGGAGCTGCTGCTGGCTGTGGAGAACCCCGGTCGTCTTCCAGCCCTGCCTCCGAGTGCGGTGCCCCTGCTCCTGTGTTGGAGAGGCTGCACTCGGGCAGGCACACGGTAGTGTCCACCCTGGCGGAGGCTGCACAGAGATAGTGCATGGGGATCGAGCTTCATTTGCTCCCCGTTTTACCTCCCAGTCCTTTTCCAGGCTTTCCAAGGAAAAAAGGAATTCTTGAGAAGCCCTGTGCAGGAGGCTGTGCCCCGTCCTGCTAAGGAGAAATCTCTTCTCCTAAGGTGGTGTCCACACAGCGTTTATTCCTCTTCACATTGTGGTTCTCATGCTCCCAGGAGCCAAGCAAGGCACCCAGGTGCAGGTGCACACCCGGTTGGTCCCCAGCTTGTTGTGTGGCTGCATCAAGCCAGGGCACAGTGTCCAGCACCCTGTGTACCCTCCTTGCATGTGTATGCAGCATCCCCCTGCCCTGTGCTGGCCCAGCTTCCTTCCTGCCAGCCATCGAGGTCCCCTTGGTGGTGGCATTGCCACCTTAGGTAGGGGTACAGGGATTGCATCCCAGGTTCCGGGTGAGCTGGGAGCACGTCTTCCTGTGCGCTGGGTGAGAATGCAAAGCTCCTGTGCAGAGCAGAAGAGGGCGTCCTCCTGTCTGGGAAGGAGCGTCCCTGGCAGGGACAGCTGGGTTCTCCTTGTGAGGAAGTGAAGTCTCTAATCACACAGAGAGCCAGGCCCACTCTGACTCATTGACGCTGTGTTGATCACTTTGTGCTGGATGTTTTCCAGGGGCTTGTGTCATCGAGCGTGATGGACACCTGTTTAAATACCTTCTGGATTATCTTCATGGAGAGGTTCGGATTCCCGAGGACGAGCAGACGCGCGTCGCCCTGCAGCAGGAGGCCGATTACTTTGGTGTCCCGTATCCTGAAAGCCTGTCAGACCACTTGGCCAATGAAATGGAGACATACTCTTTCAGGTCAAATATAGAACTTAAAAAGGTCTTGGCATTTTCGTAAGTTTTGAGATACGTATCTATTTATAATGCACAAAGCAATATGTATTGTTTTGCGTAGCCTGTGTTATCACATAAACCAAACATGAGACAGTTTAAATAATTTTGAAGACATATTTCTTAATTACTCCTACTATTTTCAAGGTCAAAATCCAGTTATAAAAAAGCATATTACATTGCCACTCAGAAGTTTCTCATGTCTACAATCCCAGCATGCTGGGAGACAGGCAGGAAGAGCCCAAGCTCAAGCCCAGCCTGCACAATATATCGACTTAGTGAGAGCCTAAGAATAGAGTGTCAGAGTAAAAAATAAAAATGATTGGGATGTAGCTCAGTGCAGAGGCCTTGGTTCAAAAGTCACTAGTACTGCAAGAGTCAAGTTATATTCCTTGTTAAATATTTATCACTATTTGTTATTGGCTTTTAAAAATAGAACTATTCTGCTCCTGAAGTTCTCTTCAAATTAAGAAAAATAGTGAAGTGTTTGAGGGAATAGTGATAGTGTTTTGTTTATTTCTTATAAAAGTGATCATGCTATGTAATCAAATCTCTTATCTGATTCAGTGAGTATAGTTTATTACAAGGTTAAAGATCTTTTTAAAAGATTAGGTTAATTCATCCCTGATACCCACTCCACCAAAGAAAAGATTAGGTTAAAAGATTAGCAATTCATGTAAACAGATTGCTTTTGATTAATTCTCTTTGAGACAAGGAAAAATCTTTTGAAAACGTTTCTATTTTGAGTCATTTTAAGAATCTTTCTGTGGTCTGTCTTAGATAAGATCTGGTCAGATCTGTGGTCTTATTGAGAAATGTTATGTTTGCTAGTAAGTAGCAGCCTGGGTGGCTGCTCAGAGTGGGAACTGACCCTTGTGGGCTTGGATTCTTGGCTCAGAGGCCAGTGTTCAGGAAGTGGGATCCAGGTGCTTGGTGCCAGGAGCTTGGAGCAAGGCAGAGGTCATTTTGGTCCCTGTGCCCTGGGAGTGCTGTGGCTGCCGGTTCTCCATCTGGGCTTCAGCTCTCAGTGCAGAGGGCTCAGAGTGTGGGCTGGAGGCCTCTCCTCCGACCCAACACTGCCAGTGCACCAGCCAACGTGTGACCATGTCCGTGTTTGTGACATGTGGCACTGAACAGGGACTGTGTGGCTCACTAAGAAGGGCACTGCCTGCTTCTCTCCCTCCATGTGGCCACAGTGTAGCTGGGGTTCTGACTGATGTGCAGGTGAAGCTCAGTACCCACGCACCGAGAGACTGCAGCATCAAGGTGGCCAGGCAAGGCCAGTGCGGCCTTGTTTTGTTATGGGGTCAGCAAATGCTGGGCCTCTCCTGGGTGTTGGCCCCTGTTCCGACACTGGAGAGCTTTGGCAGGGAGGGGACACCAGGGCTGGCTTGGGCTGTGATGCTGCTGTCCCTCGTGCTGGTGGCTTGGGCACCTGTCTTCTCGCAAGCTGTACCTCTAGAGGGTGGCCCCAGCTGTGTCTCCTGACATTAGTGCTCAGCATGCTGTAGGTGCTCAGTATTCAAGCAAATTCCTGAACAGGTGGGGAAATTGCCAAGTGCCTTCAGACAGCGCATGCGGAGTACGCGTGCATCTCAGTATAGAAGAGCGAGCTGGCCCATCCAACCCGTGACTGGAATCGTCAGAGCCACCTAGGGGCTGGTCAGTCCACAGTGAAAGGAAGATGGAGGCACATGGGAAGGTTTTGAGGAAAAAGTCCAAAAAGGAAAGTCACTATATGAAAATTATAAGAGGCAGAAGTGTTGGGAGTGGAGAAATGTTATAAAGATCATATTTTATAGAGTATAAAATTAAACATGATATTGGCAGGCTGAAAGAGGAGATGAAAATAGGATTTCCATGTGGGAGAAGCTTCTCTGGATGGAAAGGTGTTGGGTTGGGGTGGTGTTTTTGTCATTCCGCCCCCAGTGAACTCATCACAAGCATGTTTAAAGACCAAGCTGAAGTTTGTCACCTTTGTGTTTCCCTTGCAGCTCTATATGAAAGCAGCAGAGCAGGCTGGTTTCCTATTTTACCCCGGTTACATTCTAGTTCTATGCATGTTTTGCTGCAGGCCTTGGTAGACTTTTGCGGATCCTACGGCTTGGTCTGCAGTGAACCGACTGTCTGGGTTCTGCACTACCTCAGCACATCTGGCACCAGCTGTGAGAGCAGGGTCATCGGGGTGTACGCCACCAGGGCCGACGGCATGGACGCCATCGAGCAGCAGCTGGGCCGCAGAGTCCGCAGCAAGAGCATCTTCCGGAGGTAGGGCTGTGCTGCCTGCCTCTGCTAGGAGGTATTGCTGTGGGCATCGGCATGGGGCTGGCATGGCCGAGCCCCGAAAGCTGCGAGAGGAAGAGAGGGAGCCCAGCCCGGTGTCCCAGAGCACGTGTCCCCCCTCAGAGGACTTTTGGAGAACCATGTATAAAAGGCCTGGTTAATGAGTATCTGTGGCAGAACTTCCTTCTGAAAGATAGTTTTGCTATGTAACATTACAACAAAGCAACACAAGCTGAACAGGTAAGCAGGAAAAGGAACGGGTCTGGGATGACCTCCAGCACTGCCTCTGGCACACGTGGTCTCCATCTCAACTGGAGGGTGCAGGAAGGAGGCAGGGGCAGCACAGCCCTGTGGCCTCTCACGATGCCCACTGTCTCTGCCTTGCTGTCATGGTGCCCGCTGTCACCCCTGCAGGCCACAGTGGAGCAGCAGGTGACTGACTGGTCTTGAGAACATCACTGAAAGTCATGTGGTTGTGCTAAAAGCTGGTGACTCTGGACACCCGTCCAGGCAGTCGGGCGGTGCCTTGAGGACCCTGTCTCCTCTCTGGGAAGAGACATCCTGTGTTGTCCCGCGTGTGGCTGGGCACCGTGACTTGAGTGTGTTGAATTCTTCCAGCTCACCCTCTCAGTGTCTCCCTGGGGTCTTACTCTGGTCTTCTTACGCGGCAGAAATTGTACTTCATTCTCTGGTTGGTCAGTGACTGACACACGAGTTGGAGCTTGTGCTTTAGCTGATTAGAGATGTCGCCAGTTTCTGGTTTCTCTATAAGCAGGGTGCTCCTCTGTGATATAGAAGTGCCTGGCTTGATACTAGAGAAGTTTTTCATCAAAGTTGAATATTTTCTAGCTATTACAGTTAGTTTATTTCAAAACAATACAAAACTTGATTTTAGAAATGTGTTTGTTTGCTGGATGTGGTGCTGCATATCTGTAATCCCAGCACTTGGGAGGCTGAGGCAGGAATGTCACTATGAGTTTGAGGCCATCCTGGGCTATGTAGTGAGTTCAAGGCCTACCTGCACTGTGTAGTAAGAGCCTGTCTCAACTCCGCCCCACAGAAGAAATGTGTAGATATATCTATGTTTTATATTGGGGAATTGAGAAGTATTTTCCAATGGTAAGAGATCAGATGCAGGTGAGCCTGTGGTGTGTTTGTACACGTGAGTGTGCAGACGTGCTCCAGGGCCACAGAATAACAACTCCAAGTCTCTCTGTCCCCCTTCATTGTCCAGCTCTCACTGAGTATGTGTACACACATTCATATATTCATGCTACATTTTCCTTATATTTTGTAATTTTTCTAGAGAGGCGGGGAATAATGTCCAGTACATTTGGAGCTATTACTCCGTGGCAGAACTGAAGAAAATGATGGATGCCTTTGATGCATGGGAAGGAAAAGGTACAGGGTGATGCGAGTAGATTCTGTGGAAGTGGGTGGGCTTTTCCTTCATGTGGTAGTCAGTTTCCGAGAGTGACACCGAGGCAGCGCACTTTCCCATCTTTAGACTCCAGGGCTTTGAATTATACTATAGGCAGGGAAAAGTGGGGATGTTATTTAAACAAGTGCCACAGCCCTAGTGTGGACTGGTGCCCCAGGAGGTCTCCAGTAGGAGCGGACACTGAGAAGCCGAGAGCAGCCGGTGCACAGGGCCGCTCCACCGCTTGCCATTATGGGCAAGGCAGAGCCGGAAGAGGATGCTGTGTCCTCATGTGACCGTGTGACTACCCCAGAAAGGTCACTCTGTGTAGATTCTCTTAGAAGCCTGACTTTCAAGTCAAGGCAAACTTAGTGGGCCAGGCTTGGGAGAATCTGGAGCCTGTTAGGGCTGTGGGCGTCATCAAGTTGGCTTAAAATGAGGCTCACAGAGCCGGGGAGCCTCGGGGAGGGAGCCCCTTCTTCCGCCCGTGCCAGCTTACTACGTTGGTTATTATTACCAGAACTTCAGTGAAAAAACAACTCCAGTCCTGGGATGTACACGGTTATTCTTTTTTAAATCCAAGCACCTTTTATTCAACGTAGCTCTTTGGGCATTTTTGTGTCTATGTATAAGTTTTTTGTTTTTAAAAATTGAAGTGCTTGTAACAAAGTGGACTGGCGGCCACTCCAGACCAGCTCCACCCCAGCAGGTGCAGTCTGTCCTGCTGCCACCACTCCCCGCCCTGTTCTCACCCGGCTGCCCCGCTGCCTTCACGGGTCTGGGGCCGGCAGCGCTGAGTGCTCAGGTCTGGCTCCTCTTGTTGGCACCAGCGCTGGTGCCTCAGCGGGGCCTTGGCGAGCACAGCCCGGATGTCTCCTGCCCTGGAGGGCTCAGTGCCACGGCAGCCTGGCACACGGTGCTCTGTCGTGTGTGTCAACGTGGCTGTCACCGTTAACTGTCACTGCGGGGCATCCCAGTGCCACCCCCTTTCAGTGGATGTGAGAAACAAGGCCCAGGCCGTGACTTCCGAGGGTGGGTTCAAGGCAGCACTCAGCTGCGTCCTGGGCTCCCCAGCAGCAGAGCTGGGTGGCTCCGGGGGCAGCGCCCCAGACCTAGCCACAGAGCCGCTGCGGGCGCCCGGCGTCCCCAACGCGGTCCT